AATCGTGATATAACTCCAACAAAAACTTATGATCTATATCCATAGTGAACCTTTTGTAGGAAAGTAAATTGAATATTATTGATATAAAAGAATAAAGAAGAAAGTGGAAAGATTAGCAGCAAGTCGGACGACGCAGGGAAGGAATAGCAGGGAAGTACGAACGGACAGAGCAGGGACTCCAAGTAGAACATAACATCTTACCTTTGCCATTAGAACTAAAATTAATTACAAACAAAACCCGGCTGTACCATGCTTTAGGTATAGCCAGTTGTACGGTATAAATTACCGACATCGATGGACAAAAAAAACCGGTGATTCACATGAAAAACTGGTGGACATCGATAAAAAACACTTGCGTGTAAACGGACACCACATGCTTATATAAAAAACTGGTAGGCGTAGCTTAACTGGTAGCGAGGGAGTGATACAAGAGTTAGGTCCCGGATTCGAATCCCGACAACTGCGATGAAAGGTTACTATGATAAAAATGCATAGGGCCTCTGCAAGTACCGAGGACGGAGCTCCACTCTCTATCTGTCAGATTGTGATTATAGTCTAATTTACATCCTCCCATCGTGTCGACCGGTCAGTGTTGGGAGCCCTCAGGGATGAGGCGTCATCCTTTCAAGGGTTAGGCTTATACAAGGAGCATATTTCATTGACAGATAGGCGTAGGTGATACTTTCTACTCTTTACTAACTCGACGTACTACCTAATGCTTGTGCTAGTAATTTACTTGGAATTGGTACAGAAACCTGAACCACGTTAGCTACGTACGGAGTACTACGTACAATTGTATTGTACTACACAATACAATATTCAATTTTTTTTTTTTGAAAGAATCATATACTTCGTATATCGAGCATTTGATAGTTCCTACTTCCTAGTCATTATTACGTAGTATATTCATGGTACCCTAGAATTTGTCATTATTTAATGAGTAAATTTCCTTAATAGGACTAAAATAATGAAAAAGTGCAAAACTAGGACTTCCATGTTGTGTATGACTAGTACATAATTAGCAGATAAAACTATCCTTAATGAAATTGCAGGTGCGATAAAAAAATAGAAGCTCGGGCCTGTATCTACTATGTGCTGTAGCCATCCTCCCGCAAACGACCTGGTGCCTCAGCCACCCTCCAGCAAACCATTGTCGTTGCCGCCCTTCAGCCTGATTGGCACAATCACTCTCCGGTGAGATTGCCATCTTGCCAGATTGACATAATAGTGGCATTTTTAAAAAAATATGACATATCCAAATGCGAAATCATGGCATTTTCAAATAATGTAAAGGAATTTTTAATTTAAAGTTGTGGCATTTTCATAAGAAATATGACATTATCAGAATAAATAATGGTAGTTTAAATTGAAAGGCGAAATTCACAAGAATAATTTATACTTTTATGCACTCTACAATAATAATTTTTACTGAGAATGTCCATAAAAATAATCCATACTAACAATAGTATCAACAAGAATAAATTGGAGTGAATTCAAACTAATGCTCATTTTGTACTCCCAACCCCTACCTCCACTTTCACTTTCATCACTCTTCGTCTCGATTAACACTTTTATGTTATAACCTAAAGAGATCCGCATATGGCGAAAATGATACGTGTTGAGATTAAACGGGTTTTAGTTTGGATTTGCCACGAGAAGAAGAGTGTGAAAGAGATAAGTGAGAGTAAGGATTGAGAGTATTAAACGGACATTAATCTGAATTCACCCAAATTTATTCTTGTGAACATCATTGCTGATTTGGATTATTTCGAGTAGTATATATAAAGCGATTATTGAATTTACTTTATCTTATTAAACGGACATAAGATTAAACATATCAAATGTGCATTTGAAAAACATTGCGTTGTTTATATATATAATGCGCAGTGTTCTTATATAACTTATTTGACTCCATTCTCGATGGAATTTTTAGCTGAAATTTGGTGGACATAAACTAGACTTGATTAAGAAAATGCTCAAAAAATGTCATCAAATAATTCCACTAGTACAGACTTGAAATGGCCTCGGTTGGGTGGCGGTTCCCGTCAAACAAACTGTGTATCCGACGTGGCAGTTTAAGAGGTCAAATAAGCCTCTGAATCCAATCGAGATGTTCAATTTACCCCCTCAACCCTTAAAAGTGTCAAAATTGCTAAAAGTAAGAAATAGAAAATAAAATACAAGTCAATAATATAAAATATAGACATCTATTTAATACTCCGTAATATAATAAGGAAATATTTATAGGGGTTTTGGCATCAATATTACTAAAAAATAGACAATGGACAAAAAAGAGACCTTTTTTCTAAATTTCCAAAAATGTGACTAATAAATACATATTCTCCTAAATTACCCTCCCTAAAGTGTACAACACCCGTCCGCACAGCCGCATAGCTTCCGACATCCGTAATACGAAGTATTACACTGGTCAAGAGTATTGAGTAATAATGCCCTTCTAATCATTAATGCTTCTTTTGATTTAAAAATTATTTCATGCTTCCTTTGATTTTAAAATTATTTCTTACAATGGAAAATGTTTAATTTCTAGTTAAAAGCGATTCTAGTTACTACCGGCTCAGTGATTATCGTTCCAGTTACTATCGTCTCAGTTACTACCGCCTCACTTACTATCGTTCAGTTATTACCGCCCCAGTTACTACCGTCCCAGTTATTACCGCCCCAGTTACTACCGCCCCAGTTACTACCGCCCCAGTTACTACCGTCCCAGTTATTACCACCCCAGTTACTACCGCTCAATGACCACTACATTTCAGTTACTACCACTCCAATGGGTCATCATGCCAATTACTACCGCTCCATTAAACGCTGTCATAGTTACTATCGCCTGGTGATCACCGTTATAGTGACTTGACCCGTTATAGTGACACCGTTATAGTGACTTGACCCGACATAGTGACCACCGTTCGTCCGTGCAGTGACCAAAATCCGTCCGTTCAGTGATCAACATCCCCGTCCGCTCGCCCGAAAGTGACTCCAATGACGGCCGCCACCCCTGTGGTGACCATGACCGCCCACCGCCACCAGTCCATCCCCACCACCACCACTAACCCAGCCCCCTTGTCCGCAACTCAGCCTTCCAAGCCCCCTTCCTAGCCGCACTGTTGTCGTCCTTGAACCTCACCAAACTGATGTCGCCTTGGAGCCTCATTTGCATCGGCGTGACGCTGTCACACTGGAATCTTAGCCACACTACCGTCGCCTCAGAGCCTCAACTGCATCGGCATCGCACTGGAAGCTCAGCCACACCGCCGTCGCCATGAAATCCAATCCACAATCAACGTAGAAGATATGGTTGCGGGAGAGAAGAAAGGAGAAGAAGTGGAGATGAGTTGCAGCGGCAGAGGAGGAGTTGCAGCGGCGGCGTAGGTGCTGTCGTCGTCTTCGCAGAGCTTCATACCTAAATTTCAGAGCTCCACCACTCCAAATCTGAAAGAAGAAGGTCCTCTGCGGCGACAAACGAAGAGGCGATGACGAGTGAGAGGGGATGTCTGTAGGCGATGTTGGTGGCGGCGGAGGTGAAGCCAGGTCGTCGATGAAGTTTCATAGTTTTACCTGGAGATTTGTTGTACCGCGGTACCGCCTGCTTCAAATTTCAGAAATGCGTGATCGCATATGGAAGACGATGATCAAAATTGGGTTAAGCATTTGGACTGAAATCAATTTACAGGGGTAATTTTGACAACTTTTCCCCGTTTAATCTCTTTTTAGTCCACCGTAGGAAAGGTCCTACTTTTGTCCTGATAAAGTCCCCGGGCAATATTTTAGTCATTTTTTCATATTTATATTTACGGTATATTCAAATTAAAAAATAAAGAGAGAGTATATAGGAATAAAAAGGTTGCCAAACTTTCATACTTTTACATAATTACTCTAACTTTTTCAGCACAATTCAATACTTCTATTATTTTAGGGAAAAATAATAAAAATGCCTCAAATTTTGATGGGTGTGAGCTAAACACCCCAAACTTGCGTATGTAATTTAAATACCCCAAACTTTATATAAAAAGTTATTTAATTTTGCACCATTGTCATGTATTATTTCTTTCAAAAATGTAAATTTATGAGGTTATAATTGCATACGCAAGTTTGGGATAATCAAGTTTGGGGTATTTTATTTATTTTTCCCATTATTTTATTCTCTAAATAATGTGCCAAAGTTAAGCTATATATTACTTCGTACAATCTTTAAAGGGAAAAAGGGGCAAATAAGCCCCCGAACTAACAAAAAAAGTGCAAACCACCCCATATATAGGACATATATAGGAATATATGTGTTTACTCAACTAAAAATAAAACCGGGAAGGAATATATAATAATGGAGTACATACGTAGTACTAGGGGTGAGCATGGGACGGTACGTGACGGTTACTTAAAAAAACCTATCTCGTCCCAAATTACGGTTCTTTTAATTAAAAATCAAGAACCGCTACCGTCCCACATATATATATATATATAGAACATGTCCCATTCCGTACCAATTTTCAATACGGTTCGGTACGGTTCTCCGGTGTTATTTGGTTCCTAAATAATTAACCCCCATGAAATATAATTAGCCCTATTTACGTAGCATTGTTTATACTATCAGTATCATTTAGTATTGTTTATGTTTTAAAGCTAACTTTTAGTGTTGTCAAGTCTTAATAATTGGATTACGCCCAAAGAATATGCAAGATTGCATATTTGTAATATATGGACATATGGTCACTGACATTTATACTCCGTAATATATTATATATAGTATATCATTATATTATAACACTAGTTTTCGGGACATACGGTCACTAACATTTATACTCGGTAATATATTATATATAATATATTACGGAGTATTATATTAGTATACTAGTTTTCGGGATAATTCAGGACGGTACGAGACGGTTCAGTTCAATACGGTTCTGGAACGGTCCTCACCAAGAACCGGTACTGTACGATAGAAAAGCTCGGTATGTTACGGTCTTCGACCCTACTTAGTACGTAGTATAAAAGAGAGTGACGAGTTGAAGTTATTATGGATGGGCGGCTCGGTATGAATAATAATAACAATAATAATATGATGGAGCTGAAAGTGGAAAGATATGAGGAGGAGAAGGTGAAGCCGCTTTCCCCTACCCCGGAATCCTTGCGCACCTATAAGCTGTGCCTTAATGATCAACTTACCGGCACTTTTTATACGCCCATCGTCTTCTTCTACGCCGCCACCTCTCCCGCCCATGACTACGACCGCCTCAAACTCTCGCTCTCCAAGGCCCTCTCCCTCCTTTACCCTCTCGCCGGCAGGCAGAAGGACGAGTTCACCGTCCTCTGCAACGACGAGGGCGCCGATTTCGTCCGCGCAAACGTCACCAACGCCCACCTCGCCCACCTCCTCCGCCACCCCAAGGTCCACCTCCTCCGCCAGCTCTTCCCGCGCCATCCCTACCCGACGGCTTTCGACCCTTCCCAGCCCCTCCTGGCTGTTCAGGTGAACCGCTTCCCCTGCGGCGGGACGGCGCTGGCGATATGCCTCTGGCACGCTCTCGCCGATGCCTCCGGCGTGGTCGGCCTCATCCGGACCTGGGCCGGCTTCAACCGGGGAGGAGTCATCACCGCCACCCGCGACAGTTTCGTCGTCGACCCCACGGCGATTTTCCCTCCGATAAAGCACGACGTCCCCACGGCGATATCCTGCTTCGCAGCCCTGAGGGGACAGGCGCGCGGAAAATACATGGGGAAGCGGTACGTGTTCTCAAAGCAGGAGGTGGAGCGGATAAAAGACGGGCTGCAGGTTATGAGCGGGCGGCGCCCGACTCGGGTGGAGGCGATGTCCGCGTTCATATGGGCCGCCGTGATCAGGGCAACGCTGGCGGCGAACCCGAAGCTGAAGACGCACATTCTGACGAACGCGGTGGACTTGCGAGGGAGGTTGGTCCCGCCCTTCCCGCCCACCTGCCTGGGAAATATCAACCAGCTGACCTCGGCGTGGTGGGCGGCGGAGGGGGCGGAAGTGACGGCGCAGTCACTGATCGGGAGCGTGCGGGAATCGATCAGGAAGATGGACGACAGGTACGTGAGGAAAGGCGGCGCGTATCTGAAAGCAATAGGGGAGGTGGGGGAAGGGATCGCGAGGGACGCAGATGCGGTGCGGGTGCTGAGCATAAGCAGCTGGTTCAAGTTCGAGTTTCTGGAGGTGGACTTCGGGTGGGGGAAGCCCAGGTGGTTGGGTCCGGCTCACAGCTTGACCGATTTGGCTCTCTTACTGGACGCGGAAGATGGGGGGATAGAGCTGTGGATAGGGTTGCCCAAAGCTTTTGTGTTCCATCTCGACCACGACCCCGCCTTCACTTCACGTCTCACCTTTAGTCAAATTGTTTGGGAACCGCCCCTCCTCCTCCCCACTCGCCTCTGAATTCATCTTCATTCTTCATTTGTTTCTCATATACCAAACCATATCATTTCCGTATCACAAAATATACTATCATGGTGTATTAATAATAACATTCTAATAAATGTAATTCACTGGGTGGTGCCTAGCTTAATTACTCCCTCATTTGTTGCCTTTGTCCAAAATTAATTAGTTACCCCCTCAGTTTTGATCATTCTCACTATATATACCCCTCACATTAATATTTGTTAAATTAAATTTAATATACCTCTTAAATTCAATGAAAGTTGTATATAAAATTAATTTTTAAAATATAATACTACTTCCGTTCTTAAATAAGTGCAACGGTCAACATTTCACATTTGCCGAGGCACAACTTTGACCATTAATATATATAACTCTCTATTAGTAAAAAAATTAAAAAAAATCAGATTTTGAAAATATACAATGAGACAAATTTAATAATATTTTTTTCAAAAATATATATTGATACATCAATAAATAAAATGTAGTCAAAGTAGAACATGTGAATAGTGTAAAATTTGCAATGTTGCACTTATTTAAGAACGGAGGTAGTACAATTTATTATCATAATTATAAGTCATTATTGATGGTCATTTGCTTTTCTACTTAACCACTCGATCGTGGAGTAACTATTGATGAGAGAGTTAAGGGGAAGACTAAAAGATAGGTGTAGTATCAAGATGAAAGCCCGTCATAGAAGAGTTTTAATAAGGGGAAATCTGTGTCGTCATCCCCCGTCACTATAGCTTCCGCTGTTAAAAGTAAACAATGACAGTATACGACTCCTCTCATTAATGAGTATGCAATGAGAATCTATTTACCGTCATTAAAAGGTTATTTTTATGGCAGTAGATCTCCGCTACTAATCTAAGACCTAATTCATCATAGATTATTTAAAAAAATTATTAACTCTGCTACTAATTTCCTAAAAATAATTTGACTGCGGACAGAGATTCGTTTGCTTTATCCTCGGTCAAATCTCGTAAACCGCAACAGGACCATCAAATTGGGACGGGGGAGTATTGTTTAATATTTTACGAAATTGAGTACTGACTATCTAATAAAGATAATTAAACATTACAAAACTAAGAATTTTTATATAATAAGCATCTAAGTTTTAAACAATGACTTGTTTTGTTGTTTATTTGTTTAAGTAATGATGAATTATTTTAGATGTTTCTTCTTTTAAATGTCCTATTAAGTACTCTTATTATATTATGTAAGAATATATTAATGTTAAAAACTCAAAGTTAATCAAGGAGAACACATGTATATCTAATTAAGATATCAACATTTTATGAAAATACTACTAATGGAGTATATTCACATATGAATAAATTCCACTTTTGGTCCTACGAGTTTTATGTCAATTCCACATTTAGTCCATATTTTTCACTTCGTCCAGTTTTGGTACATGACTATTGTGTTTTCGTCCATATGTAGTCCTTCCGGCCATGTTTCCGGTGGTTAGAATCGCCGGAGAAGGACCACAAATGGTCAAAAAACATTAGTCAAGTATCAAAAGTGGACAAAGTGAAAGACACGGACTAAATATGGAATTGACATAAAACTCGTAGAATCAAAAGTGGAATTAATTCATTCACATATACCCCAAGAGTATGAACGTCCACAAAAAAACTAGTCTCTAGAAGTAATAAGTCATTAATCCGTCGAGTCCGAGCTCGCCCCGGTCGAGGTCGCTCCAAACATTCGACTCCCAGATTATAAAGATAAGACCAAAATTGCATCTGAGTTTGAGGTCGACCCACGCTGAGGTCAGCGTCGAATCCGGCGTCATAGCTGTGCTTGAAGTGAACTAGCGCTCCTGGATGTCAGCGGAACAAAGGGATCACCTCCACATGGCAAGCAGCAAACTGAGGTTGCTCCCTCCGTGATAAGCACATTGAACCCATGCTTGATCTCATCCTCTGAGCACGGGGTCTCATAATGAGATCTTGAACTTAGACATTTCAGCGATCAAGCACCACGCATAACTGCGACCACGTGCCCCGCGTGACAGCGGTCTAGGGCTTACTTCACCCAAGCGGCTATCACACATAGTATTTTGGATAGTACACGTGTGTTGCACACATGCATTCTCGTACACAAAGGACAATTATGTTAGACATATTACTAATAAGCCCGTTGTCAAGATTATCTCTCCAATCAATTTTACATATGTCACCATACAATTAGAATAGTACATTCCTTCTTGTTAGCTGATGGCCGCTTTCGCGGCGTTGTAGTAAAACGGAGTCTAACCTTTCAGTTTTTCCCCGAGTATCGTGTCTCTTGAGGAATGGCGGAGGGAAGTGTTGGTTTTAATATCGGTCACCGGTTAATACGAGTCGTTGCAAGCTTTCTCAAACGATTAATTGTGATAATGATTAAGTAAATAAAATTAAACAACAAAAGTAGTAGCGGAGAATTTAATTAAATGACATTAAGGAGTAAACTAAAACTAGTGAACATGCAAAATAACTTGAGAGAAAATTAACTAATTAAAATATTAAACTAGCAAACATGTGGATGAGTAAAGTTTCAAAAATAAAATACTTAAAGGTAAATTCAATGTGACTAGTAACAAAAAATTAACTAATTAAAAGTGGAGTTTAGATTTGGAATTAAGGGTCTTGGGTGTCTTTGATTATGAACAAAAATGGGATAATTTCTTTAATCTAAGAATAGTGACACTAATTCTCATAGACAAGTATTTAGTTTTAATTCCCCTAACATGTCCTATTTCTAGGCTTAGTTTAGGGTGTGTGGGATGTGAGCTAAATTAATTCTACACTCATAGACAAGCAAGAATTAATTTTCCAAACATTCACAAGTGAAGTGATCAATTTCACAAATTACTCAATCAATTTCATCTCAAACAACTAGTCCTAAAAACTAGAAAATTTTCCCAAATTCAATTCAATATTCAAGAACACCCATTAACCTTAACTTTATCCAAATCCAAACCCCATGGAAATTTAGTCTAGCATAATTGTAACTAAACTATCACTACTAACTAAGCAGGAAAAGCCTAAATAATACATGAGCATAATTCAAATACGGAGTAAAAATTCAGAATAATAACAGTTCAAGAACAAACATGAAAGTCCGGAAAACTAGAAATAATACAAGAACAGATCATAAAGATTAATCCAACATGAATATAACCAAGAAACTGAACATCGAACCTTAAAAGATAATATTGAAAGATGATAGCTGATGAAAATAAAAGAACTGATGTTCTTCTCTTTTCTTTCTGCTAGAGCTTTTTTTCTTCCTGCCTATCCCATGCCTTCGTTCTTCCTTTCTCCGGCCAAGAGCTCCTTGCGGTTGAATGATTGCAGGTGTGTCATTGCTCTGCGGCAGAATTGTGTGTGAATTATGGGTGTGAATTGTGTGTGAATTATGGGTGTGAATTGTGTGTCCCATTAACTTCCAGTTGATGCCGATCCTTTATTAATCTTCCCAGCAGATGATTTGGCTCCCCATCCCATCTCCTTGCGGCGGGTGAAAACTCCCTTGTTCCTGGCAGCTGTCTTTTTTTTTGTTTTATTTTTCCGCAGCCATGTGCGGGTGCCTATCTATCCCTTTCTGTTCTGCTGGCTTTCTATCCTCGTCCCATCTTGTCTCCTTTCTTTTCCCCTTTTTTGTTTCGTTTTCTTAATGTCACGCAGCTTTGCTGCTTTTTATTTTTTTGAGTTTCTCTTTTTTTTGTTGGGTTTTCTTTTGCTTTATTTCATCTGTTTTTGTAATAAAAGATATCAACTTCAAATATAATAAAAACCAGATATTTGACAAATTACAAAATAAAGATAAAACAAATCAAAAGAAGAAGAAAAAAAACATAAGATCAATCTAAAAACTTGAATTCAATGCAAATCACTCAAAAAATGTAAACATCAACACTAATTCCAAACATTAACAAAAATGAAACAAAAACGCAGAAAAATGTAACAATTTGCCCCAAGTTTGACAAGAAACACTATAAAAAGTGAGTGAAAATATGTTAACAAATTAGGCTTATCAATCTCCTCACACTTAAGCATTGCTTGCCCTCAAGCAACAAAACTACTCTCAAACATATTTTCAAGGCAAATTGTTTATGGTGCACAACTCAAGGGCTCAAGATCACTTGGATTCAATCATTAATAGACTAATATTCCAATCTATCTAACTATATTTCCATGAGAGTACATTAATAACTAAACTTTTATGACACAACATACTAAAAAAAAATCCTTTAATACTAGCATACTTGCAAAAAATGCTACTAAGTAGTTATGAGCACAAGTCAACATTCACATTCAAAAACCCTCAGTCATCCTTAACTAGTCATGAAATACACACAAGCTCCAGTTCTAAAAACAGTTTTAGCTCCCCTAGTTTTTTTTTTTTTTTTTTGAGAATGATCTTGGGGGAGCTATAAACCAAGCCAAGTTGGTATGAATTTTATGGTTAAACTAAATCATTGATTTGTGGGGCTATCTCATAAAATATATAAAATATACTCAACTCTCGCAGAATACGATAATGAGAAGAGCAGCGCCCCTTCTCGGAGATGAGACTCCCAACGAAGACACTTCTCAAATCAATAATCAAGTACAACCAGAATAGCAAGAGATATTCTATCAAATGCTAAAAGCAGAGCCTCATTCGAGGATAGAATTCTCCCTAATCCAAAGAATTTAAATTTTAAGCTAACCAAGGAGCATTGTATATATCCATGAAAAGAAAGTAAGACCGAACAACCATTCAAACCAGAAATCCAAACTTGTGCACACAACTTCAAAGTAGAAATCAAGCATATCTACTAATATTTAAAGATTTTTTTTAAAAGTATGATGCTAATAAAAAGATTAGTTCTAACAAAACTTTCAAAAAAAATAGTTAAAGTAGATTACACCTTAGCTTATTAATGATCTTAACTTAGTTCACCTGAGCCTCTTGTCATGCACACATGATCAGTCCATTGCCCTGTTCCAAACCCTCCTCACACTTGAGAATAGACATCGTCCTCGAGGTCTCAAAATAAAATCAAAATAAAACAGGGCAAATCTGTATTTTTTTAAAGTACCCTCCTCACACTTAAGATGAATCACAAATAAACACACGTGGAGGGTAAAAAATCATAGAGAAAAGTAAGAAGTACTCCCCTTGTGCTCAACATTGAAGAAGATTTGAAAGAGCAAGCACAAATGAAAATTTAATCCAATTGGGGAACTCCGGTGATTAACCTGAAAAAGCTAAAGCAAACA